ACTTTTTATTTTATTACTAACACTAAATTAATATCTTTGTGTATAGCCTGCTTCTTAAGTAGATGAGTATATTATTAGAATCCATTCTTCACCTCCCCTATCAGTGGACTTGGGGAGGGGCATGCGTGAAGAAGGGGATGGAAAGGTGGGATCACTTTGTATGGGGGGATACAAAGTGAATAAAGTGTAATTAATAAAAATAAAAATTAAAAAAAAGAATCCATTCCTCAAAATGGAGTTGCCTGGAAGATATGTTCATGAAAACTCTTAAACCATATTTTATCACAATGACATATGCAACCAATAAGTAAGCCAAAAGCACGATGGTATCATAGTGAGTACTCACACTCTTTACATCCCTAAACAAAGGAAATGACGAGGAAACAGCTTAACATTCACCCCTTAGGAATGAATACAACAGTGGGAGGAAATAATTTTTGTAAAATTCTCTTTCAAAATATAACTCTTGTAGAAAGGGAACCATGAAAGGGCAAGAAAAAGTCTAACAGGAAAAAAATAGCAATTAAGGGAGGGTAGTGGGATACATGTGACATGAATATAGGAGAGAGACACTGGGGGGAGAATAGGACCAACAATAGGGGTAGAACATCTGGGAGAGAGATAAATATTATATCAAGTATAATAACGAACGTGTATGAAATTTTCACATCAAACCCCTTACTTTGTATAATACCTAAAAACAATTAATAAATATAACCTTTAATCAATTAAATTAACAATACACAGCCTGTAAAGTAAATAGCTTTTCCATAATTTCATCATATTTCCAGATGAATCATTATCATGAGCTACATTTTATATTCATGGTTGTGAGCCTAGCCTTTAATGGCTGAGCCTTCTCTCCAGCCATGAGCTACATTCTAAATAACTCATGGACACTTACAGTGTCTTCAAGTTGCTTTCAGTAGCTTTTGTGATTAATTAAAAGAAAGAGTTAGTGCTGGGGGATTAACTCAGAAGTGGAGCACCTGCCCAATTTGCCCAAGGTCTTAAGCTCAATACCCAACACTAATAATAATAATAATAATAATAATAATAATAATAATAATAATAATAGAGTGGCTGAGGAGAAATGACTAGCATAAGCTGTAGAAGCAGTGACCCAGTACAGGCACAGGGGTGGGAGTTATTAGGAAGAAAATGGCTGAAGCCAAATGACCATAAAGTATTTTCTGAACCTATGCTAGATCCAGTATGAACATCCACATTGTACAGACATTGGTCAGTGACAGTCTCAGTTACTTCTCTTGTTTCTGTAACTGAGGACCAGACAAGAAACAGCTTATATGAAAATGAACGAAAGGGTGTATTTCAGCTGTAGCTGAGCATAACCCCCAGCGTGGTCCAACAGCTGGAACAAAGGGGCAGCTGCTTGTTCACATCTAGGGGAATCAGGAAGCAGAGGAAAGGGGTGCCCTTTCTTGGTCTTTCTTCCCTTTTTGGAGTCTTGAGTCCCACCCAGACCATGAGATTGAACCACCCACATTCAGCGTGAATCTCTCTCCAATTAATCCTTCTTGGAAATGCCTTCGGCTTGAGCTCCTACACAATTTTAAATCCCGTCAAGCTGACACTGAGCATTAGTCATCAAGGTGACTTACCTGGAAATTTGAATAATGGCTATTGCATCAAGTCCCCTATATTGGATTCCTAAGAACAGTGTTTGGTGGAAATATATTAAAATAATATTTTGCCTTAGAGAAAAATCTACCATATGAGTTATTCTTTGTCAAAAACAGATACATCTAGAATGAAGGCAAACCCAGGGCTCAGAAGTAGTACAAAATCTGTGCATCAAACTGGTAAGATAATCCATTATTAGGACTGGGTTGTCACCAGTAACATAAAGTTTATTTTCATAAATTGTGCTTTGGGCCACTTGCGCCATTCCCTCTAGTTTTTGGGTTAATACTCTGGCAACGATTCAGCTTTTAATATTCATCAAACTACAAGTATATGATAGAAAAAATGTGGGATTTCTGGGTCACTTACAAGCATAGTAATTGATTCATTGATATGTGTATTTTTGGTTAAGCAAATTTTCCTGAGTAAATTATCTAATTTAAATAAATGATGTTAGACATAACTGAACTATCATCCTCGACAAAGTGTGTGTGTGTATATGTGTGTGTAGAGGTGGGAAGGGTTATATGTGTGTGTGTATATATATATATATATATATATTTGTTGTTGTTGTTGCTTTTCAGCACTGGTAAAATTTATGTAACTTATATGAGAGGCTTAGAAGTAAGCTGGGCTTGGTTGTGCAAGCTTGTAATCCCGGCTCAAGAAGCTTAGGCAAGAAGATCACAACTTCAAACCATGCCTGGACTACGGAGTGAGTTTAAGACTAACTTGGTCAACATAAGATCTTGTTTCTGAATAAAAAATATTTCAAAAGATATGGGGAAATTGATAAATAGGAGAGAACTTGCCTAATATCTACAAGGCCCTAGGTTCAATTTCTACACACACACACACACACACACACACAGCAATAAACGCTATGGTGGAAGGGCACACTCAGACCAAAAGCCGATGCAGGTTTGGGGTGTGTCCCATGTAAAGCTGTTATTCAGCATGCATCCTACTCTGGGCTCAGTGCTGGGGAGCCCTGAAAACAAACAACCCAAGTGTGACCAAGCCCTGGCTCTGCCTCTCCCTGTCTGTGAACCCCTCCAGGCCAGTTCCCCCATGTGCAAAAGACCAGCTTCATTCTTAAGCCCTTGCAGCTTGGGAACTGAGAATAAATATCCAGGAGGAGTTAGAACGCATAACTGATTACACATCGTACATAAGTAATCTTCTTTGGAGAGAACTATGGATCCAGCTTGTGTAATAGTAAGGAAAATTATGTATAAATTCTCTTATTTATGTATTTCTGCAGTGGGGAAGGAAATGTCTGTGCTGGGTTGTCTCAGAAACGAAAATATACATAGGACTCCTCTCAAAGAATTTCAATTTTTATAAATATTTTTGAAGAAAGAAAATATAAATGTAAATTAAATAATGTATTAATCTGTGTGAAATTTTAATTTAAAACATGCCAGTGGAAAAAGTTCTGTCTTTGGTGGCTTCCTTGCTCAACTTCATGATCCCTACTACTTATTTTATCTGCCATGAGGGGTATTTGATGAAAAACTTCCTTAACTATTGCACAGAAATTTTTTCTAACGAGAGCAAAAGCTAACCTTGAATGTGGTTTCGACTGCATTTACAATCAAATTATACCCAGAAATGAACGGACAGAAAAGAACTGTTCTGCCATCTGGTGCTTCTCAATAGCCCTCAAGAGCGTGCAGCAAACCAGGCAGGCACAGCGCAGACTGTGGCTAACCTGGAGAAACTGAGGGCTGTAATTCAAAGCACTGTGCAGAGACATCTGTGATAACATAGCACTCATTTACACTTCCTCTTCTACTTTTCTTTTGGATTTGGTAGGACTCTCAAGACCTTCTGTCCTCTAGTCAAATATATATGTCAAACTAAGCCAAATGTCTTCCTTCCCCACCACTCCCAAAGATAGAGATTTTAACGGAAGGAACACAGACTCTAAAAGTATTACAAGGCACTTTATTCTCCAGAGAGGAGAGCTGTGGACAAGCTAAGGGTATCTCCATTGCATACTTCTGTGTGAGGCCTTCGAGTAGTTCTGACCCCTGGCTCCCATCTTCGAAATTGAAATGGCTCCTGAAAGCTCACCCACCCCCCACCCACTATGCCACTTTGAAATGATGGAACTTTGAAGCAGTGGAGAGTAGATGAAGGAAGTTAGGTGATTGGAGGTTAGTTGAAAACATGTCAAGTGAGTTGGCTTCCTTCTCTCTCTCCTTCCTGTTTGCCAAGAGGTGAACAAGGCCTCCTCCACTACAAGCTCGCACCAAATAACCATGCAATCATGGCTCAGAAACCATGAACCAAAACAAACCTTCCCTGCTGATTATTTGTTCATCTCCTAGGTATTTCATTCTACTTCGAGGAAGGTAACACACTGTTCTTTTGGAGGTTGGTCTAATGCTAATTACTGGTGCTCAAGATCTAGATATCACCCGCAGGATAAACCCATACTTGTTTGTGAAAACCTGCCTAAAATATTATACCTGATTTGTTCCTTAACCAAGGACAAGGCAAAATGGAGTAGGGGTGGCTCAGATTCCTGGACTTCTGAGAGAATCACAGGAAACTGAGGGACTGGGAGAAAGGAAGAAGGAGGATGCCAAGATAGGTTAGCCTGGAGAAAAAACCATGTGGGGCCTGGGAGGAAGGACTCCAATAATGGCGTGAAAAGGCCCAGACAAAGAATAAAAGCAAATATTTATAAGGTTACAGATGGAATATAGGATGGTTAAGGAGAATGACATTGGATGGGGGCTGGGTGATGGATGATGAGGTGATTCAGGTATCTGCCTGTAAATAATGCAATTATAAAATCTAACAGGTGCTTCTTATTATTTGTGATAGAGGGTTAGATAATCATAGGTATAATACTAATAATAAGCATTAAATAGCTAAACAGCCATTTTATATTACTACAACACTGTTCTCACCAAACTTGTCAGTTTTTCCTTTGATTCTGTGAATTACTATGAATTGTTCTAGTAAGTTCTTTTGCACTTGGTCAGTCTGCTCTTGTTGCTTATAGTAGAAGTTTGTAGTGTAGGCCATTAGCAGCAGCTTCATATTTAAAATGTCAACAATTACTTGGTAAAATGAAATACTCTATTTGTGGGAAGTTGGTTAAATGATAATTTTATTTGACATTATTTGCCTAGAATTCGGACTAAAACACAAATTGTTTCAAAATGTGAAACATCTACTTTTTTTTCTCCCACATTTTAACTAATCTTAACCCTTATTTCATTTTCAAAAATAACAAAAACCACTTACGAATAAAGCTTGCATATCTAAATGATCGTGTGTTTCTGCTTAAGAGAGTGGACATTAAAAATCATTTTCAAATCTGGAAGCAAAGGTCATCTCTAATCTATTTCATAATCATCATCGTCATCATCCACACTGAGTCTACTGCTGGAAGAGTCTTCCTGTTTTGCTTTCTTCTTGCTCTCTTTGCTTTTCTCGTTCTGGTTTAAGTGATGCTCGCACTGTTTCAGGATCTTCTTGGAGGACATCCAGCTCTCCCCTTGTCGTTCTGCTGGGGCCGCACACTGTCCTCCTTTCACATCCGTGCCCTTGGCCTTCAGGACTTCCCTGACTCGTAGGAGATTGCAGGTACAATTCCAGGGATTTCCATCCAGGTATAGGTGCCTGAGCCGAGGCAGCCCTTCCAGTGCCTTGAGGTCTAAGGCAGAGATCTTGTTGTTCCTCAGGTTGAGGACCTGAAGCTGTTTGAGGTCTCTGAGCTCCCTCTCAGCCATGTCCTGGATGGCATTGCCCTTGAGGTCCAGCCTGGCCAGAGTTTTAGGGAGCCTGCAAAGTTAAGAAACAGCATGAGACAGGAGGCTACAACCATCAACCATCGTTCAAAACCTCCCAGCCAACACTCAGTAGCCACTTCTCTGTACAGTTCCCTCCTTTTACAAGGAAGGAAACAAGCTGTATGTCTTAATGTATGAAATTACAACATGATTTGGTTTTAAACTTTAAAATTTTCTTCTCCCAAAGTTATAAAAAAAAAAAAACTGTTTAGGAATCATCTGTTTAGGTCCCATTTCAGAAACAATGTAGTGATATGTAACAAATTTCAGTAATGCCTGGACTCCCACTAAGAAATAATATGAAAACAAATAAATACTTATTTGCAAGTGTTTGTAACATATTGAATTATAACAACAAAAAGCAAGGACACTAATACCTGGTATTTTAGTAATCATAAAACAATGAGCTATTGTGTGGTTATAAAAATTATCAAAATAAATTAGACTACTAATTCTATTTTTAAAAATATTTTCATGACTCAAAAACCTAGAAGCTATTAAAAACTGATAAATCAATAAACTTAAAAACTTTCATATAGTAAAAGACATATTCAAAGTCAAAAGATGAAAGAAGGTAAGCTTCTGCAGCTATGCTACAGACTGCAATCTCCCTAACACTGGAGTCTTAAAGCTGAGACAAGATGGTTTTAAAACAACACAGAAAACAGACGGCAAAGAGTAAGTCAAAGTTCATGTTTCAAATCACTATCTACGTATTTTAAATGTTGACTTCCCTAGTCAGGGATCACTTTCTAATGTTCTGAAGTGGGTACAGATGTCACACACACAACAAAAAGTTCCTTTCCAGCTAGGAAAAAAAGTCTATACATATTAAAGATAATTCTTCCTTTCCTGTTTATCACTGTGACTAACCATGAATTAGGCAAAGTGGGAGCCATGTGAATGTATGGGAGCAGAAGTTGCTATATTAATTATAAGAAACTTGGTAAGGATAATGAGCAGGACCAGAAAGCCTTCTGGGTTTGTTTGTTTGTTTGTTTGTTTGTTTAAGATGAAGTGCTGAAAGGATTTTAAGATTTTTAAATAGATATGAAAGTTGAATACTGGGGAGCTAGAGAGATGGTTCCACTATGAAGGTACCCACTGCCAAGGCTGGCAACTTGAATTCAATACCCAGGACTCACATGATGGAAGAAGAGAACCAACTCTGGTAAGCTGTTCTGTGCGTGCCACATGAGCCTTGTGCCCCACAAAAACACATGCCCACAGACGTAAACTTATGAGTGGATTATGAATAGTTAAGGGGATAGTTGGATAATTAAGGGGATGGTTGCGTCATTAAGGAGATGGTTGAGTAGTTAAGGGGATGATTGAGTAGTTAGGGGTATGGTTGAGTAGTTAAGGGGATGGTTGCGAAGTTAAGGGGATGGCTGAGTAGTTATCAGGATAGTTGAGTAGTTAAGGGGATGGTTGAGTAGTTAGTGAGATGGTTGAGTAGCTAAAAGCATGGCTGAGTAGTTATCAGGATAGTTAAGTAGTTTATAGGGATGGTTGAGTAGTTATGGAGGTGGTTGAGTAGTTGAGGGGATGGTTGAATAGTTATGGGGGTGGTTGTATGGTTAAGAGAATGATTAACATTTGAAGTAACTTGTATATGGAAGGAAAAATGTTTGCAAAGGGAATATTTGAGTGTGAGTGGTGAGGAGAGAAGATGAGAAAGAGGAAACTAGAAGGAGGGGAAGGAAGAGTTAAAGAAAGAGGAAAGAGGTGGGGAGGATAAGAAAGGACCAGAGAAGAGAGGGGAAAAGAAAGAAAAAAGCAGTTGCCTAGCTGAAAACAGAGAGTAAGATCAAGGCTGATGGACTCACCCACTCACATGGACACAGAAGTTTACACAGAGCCTGCTTAAGCCCTTGGGCCATATAACTGAGAATAATTTGAGACTCCCCAGTAAGTAATTCAAAATAAGTAATTACATTATAGTTTTTCCACAGAAGTACTACTTTGATGCTTTTTAAAACAAAAATTTCTTACCATCTATCCCCCATCAATGTTTCCTCATGTCCTTGCTAGTGGTTACCCATGCCCAGTCACCCAGTTTTGCACACCGCATTCTCAGAAATCAAGAGGTACTTTTTACTGTGTGCCCATATTGTGTTTGTCAGGGTAGATATTATCTGTGTGTATTTTTCCAAGAACAAAATTAATTCCCTATGGATTTGGTTTGCAGGCTGGGGATTCTAAACCACTGTTGGAAATATATGTCCCTAACCCCTAGTTTTATTTTCTGACTGCATAAGCAGCTGATGTGTCCCAGTGTCTTGCGACTGCTTTCTGGTGTCTACAGGAAATGACAGTGCTCACTCACCTCAGAGGTATGTACAACAGCAGATTCTGCTCCAGGGCCAGGTTGGACAGCTGAGAACACCTCTGAAGGGCTCCAGCCTCAAACAAGCTGACTACATTGTTGTCTAGAAACAGATGTTTCAGGTCTCTGAGGTCCTGGAATTCTGGCGCTGTCACTCTCTGAATGAAGTTACTGCTACAGTCGAGCTTCTGTAGCCTTGCTGGTAGCTTGGGAGGCAACATTTGAAGCCGGTTTTGGGACACCTCAAGAACGGTTAAATTGGTAAGCATCTGCACCCCATCAATGGAGAACAGGAAGTTCTCTGACAGGTAAAGATGGGACAGGTTCTCCAAGTGTCTCACATCTCGAAACCTGACCACTTTGAGCTGGTTCCTCTCCAGCTTTAAAGATAGCAAGGATTGGGGTAGATTTGTAGGAATTTTAGTCAGGAGGTTACCACTGAAACTGAGGTACTGCAAAGTCTGCAGAGAAGAGAAGACATTCCCTGGTATAAGATGGAGTTTATTGTTCTCCATGCTCACGTACTTCAGATGGGGAAGGTTCAGTGGTCCAGCTACAGATGCTATGTTGTTACCATCCACCATCAAACTTTGCAGATTGGTGAGTGAGGAGAGCATGCCGGGAGACAGAGCAGAGATCAAGTTGTTCTTAAGTTCCAGGATTTTTAATTTCCCCAGTCCTTCAAAATCTGAACCATGTAGAACACATATTGAGTTATCATTTAATTTTAACACTTCAAGGTTGGCTGGGAGGGCACTGGGGACCCGTCTCAATTTATTTTTCCAAAGTTCTAGGGTCTTTAAGCCACTTAGAGTCTTGAAGGTATCATTTTCCACAGACTCTGTTCCACTGGCCAGCAGAATAAAATCTTCCAGAGCCAACAGTCCAGTAAAGTTAGATAACTGCAAAATAGCAATAATGACAACAGTGATGGTGATGAGAGACAGACAGGAGTGGACAAGAAAAGAGAAAAATAAACTAAGAATCTGTGAAAAAAAAATCACACACATTATCATTTCAATACTAATCATATTTCAGACTGCCCTTCACATTTGTTTTTAAATTACCTTTTAAAATAATAATTTCAAATCAAGTCTAGATAATTTTTAAATATTTTGATAATTTCGTGTATGTTTATCATGTGTTCAGATCATTACCACCTCTACTTTTCCCCTCCAACTCTTCTGGATTTCCCTTCACATCTGCCTCCCAACTTAGGACTTGAGAATCCTGACTAATACAGACTTCATCAGTGTAAGACATTAAAATTACTCTTTCACACACTCTTGGCCAATAGATGATATTGGTCAACTTTTACTACACTTTTTTTCTGACCCAGGAAATTCTTTTCGAGGCAGAAGTGCTCACACATTACACAATTGCATCGTGCCCTAGAGCGTTCTTTTATTGCATTTCAACAGCTGGAAATTAAACAACCTACAAACATTTCACCAACTGTAAAAAAAAAAAAAGTCTCTAAGCCTAAGATTACAAGAGGAAAACATGAAAAGCAAAAAAATCGAATGTCATAGACTCTTCTGTCATTAGGATATTACTCGGGACATTTTGTTATGTCAGCATTTGGAAAATAAGCCTATTTTCTATCCCCGGATTATACTTCACCAGTGAAAAAGATCCCCAAAGACACAAATGTATACGTGTGTCCTGACAGTGCACATTGGCACTGAAGTATATATTGCTGCTGGTGTTTAGAACTTTCTCAACACTTCAACAACCACATTAATTAGTCCACATTAATTATCTCCACAGCAAGTTTTCTTTTCTTTAATTTGCTCAGTATTTACAACTGCCACCCACTTTCTGAAATATTCCCAGCAGCCTCCCAACAACACTTCAAGTTGGCTATCACCAATTTTAGTATCTCGATGAGAAAACTATGTTAGAAAGTGAGAGAAGCTGACCAAGGTCCGCCCTTCCTCAGCTACACCATTTGTATTGTACTTGGCCTCTAAACAATATGTTGTAAAAGAAACTCAAGGTTTGGACACAAATCCACACAGTTTTTTGGGGGATAGGAGGAATGGGTGCTTTATCAACGATCTTGTCCAGGTCTCCCATTTCAGTGGTGAATTTCCCCCAAGTTAAGCATTCTGTTCTATTTCATGCTGCATTCTTAAAAAAAAAAAAAAACAAAAAAAAACTTTTCTGGGTGTTTATCTTTCATATAAAGTCAGAAATAGACACAGCCCTTCACTTCTTGACCTGTAGAATCCCCAAAGAAGAATCTGGTTTCAATGGAACTTCTAAACCTTGATAATTCCTAAGAATCATCTTAGAGCTGGCATGGATCTGGATGGTCAATTCACTTTGGGACTAGACAAGCCATGTTGTCAGAGTCTCAGTTTGCTTTCCTTTCTACTTAAAAAGTTCAGAGAGTGGCCTAGATAACATACAGATGCTGCCGCATTTCTAACCTTATTCTCTTTTTTTTTTCCTTTATTGAACATGGGATATATTTTCTTATCCTTTTTTTTTTCAGAGTCAGCATAGATTAGTTATGATGGTTATTAATTAAAATAGCCAGCATTTTCTTAAAACTGATTGATCATGATTTTTATAATGTATGACCATTGACTCTTCAGAGAGGAAAGCCAAGGCTTACGGAATTTAAATTGACATGGGATAGTGGCACAGGCTTTAATTCCTGCACTTGCAAGGGAGAGGCAGGTGGTTATACAAAGAAACCCCTTCTCATGAAGATGTACATGCGGACAGAGCACTCATCTATATAAAATTTTAAAAAATGAATAAATCTTTAAAAATAAATAAAAAATAAATTATTTTTTTACTTGCTGCTTGGGCAAGCAATTTCAATTTATTTTATTTTTAATTTTTATGTATTTAGTTATTTTTATTTTTTTGAGAAGGGGTTTCTTTGTGTAACCACTATGGCTGTTCTGAATTCACTCTGTAGACCAGTATGGCCTCCATCTGCCTCTGCCTTCCACTGATGTTGAATACTAGGGATGAGTCTGCTGAGTTGACAATGAGAAAAATGAATTATCCAGACTAAATTTCCCCTTTTCATGACCTCAGCAAGATGTACTCACAAAAGTGGAGAGAGATGCAATTGCCCTAGAGCTATTGGCACAGCTGGTAGCTCATTCAGGTTTCTTTTTTTTTTTTTTTTAAGAGGAAGCAAGAGTGTGGTGTGTAGCTGGTGTGTTTCTACTGGCTTTCTCAGAGGCCTTGCTGATGTTTTCAGTCTGGGGCTGGTTGTGGTTCCAATGTCACACACCCAAGGGAGTCATACACACTATCCTTGGACTCTTCATAGGTTGAATATAAGACAAAACTGCCAACCCCACAAAGAAATGACTTCTAACCTATATGAAGCAACCATCAAGTTGTTTCTAAAGCAGTCTTGAAATTTTTTTCTGGTTATGAAAGGAACACTTGGTCTCTATAACCTATCTTAAATCTCTGAGAAAATGTGGAAAGATAATAAAAATAACCTGTAATTTCACTGTTAAGTTACCCTGTTAAAAACCACTATAACTTCTCTTACACACACACAATGTAGAGTAGAATAATTTTAATTTACTACCATAACTATATTCACATTTGACCTCTGCCATAAAGTAAAATATGTTACTTGGGCTTGTAGAAGTTTGAACGATAATAGTGAGGTAAATTTAGCTCTGTTTTGCAGATGTGCACACAAACTGAACTGAATCTGTACTCTCCAAAACAGGAGTGAACTTGGTGGCCTGGCAGAGCCCACATGATACACTGGCATCATTTGTTTCTCCTGTCTTCCACTAAGTACAATCAAGTACTTCACTGTGTCCTGAAAGTAAATATAAAATAGTGAATAGTGATAGAAATAGATGAAGACTACAAAAGAATAAGGATGACTCCTTTCTCATACCACACATAAAAATTTAACTAGATATAGATTGTGGACCTAAATATGAGAGCTAAAACCTTAAACTCTCAGAGGAAATTATAGGCATAATTATTCATAATCTTTGCTGAGGCAAAACATTTTAGATATGAGGCTGGGACTATAAGTGAATCACAAAAAGAGAAGCTAGACTCATTTAAAGCTAAAAAATTCAGTGTGTTAAAAAAAAAAAAGATAAGCCCACAGACTGTGAGACAAAAAAATTGCAAGTGATTTCTCTAGTAAGAGAGCCATTTTAAAATATCTGAAGAATGCTTGCAACTTGATAATTATGATATAAGTAACCTGATTTAAAAATAAGCAAATAATTTGCATTTATACTTCTCCAAAAACAATATACAAATGACCAACAAGCAAATGAAAATAAAAACACAAACGTTTAATGTTATTAGACATTGGGGAAACACAAATCAAAATTGAAATGAAATACTGCCTGAAACACATTAAAATAGCTATAATCAAAAAGAAAAAGACAATGAATATTGGTGAGGTTATGGAAAAGTGAAAGTGTCAAACTTGTTACAGGAATGCAAAATCAGGTATCCATAGTGGAAGATGAGATGACAGTTTTTCAAAATACTACTGGAGTCCCCATTTCATGAAAAAAAAAATTCCTATATAGATACCAAAGAAAAGGACAATCTAGGTCCATGTAAAAAATTCTGTACTGGGGGGCTGACGAGATGGCTCAGGGGTTAAGAGCACTGGCTGCTCATCCAGAGGTCCTAGTTCAATTTCCGGAAACCACATGGTGGCTCACAACCATCTATACTAGGTTCTGAGGCCCTCTTCTGTCATGCTGGCATACATGCAAACATAGTACCCACACATAAATAAATAAAATTTTAAAAACAAAAAAAATAAAATTAGGTTAAAAAAAAACTTCGGTACTGAAATACAAGCATTCATAGTAGCATGGTTCACAATAGACAAAATGAAAAAAACAATACAAATGTCTGATGACTACAGGGTATAACAATCTATCATATATATGTGCATACACACACACAAACACACAAACACAGTAAAACCCAGACAACCTTTAAAAGGAAGGAAATTCTGACATGAACTACATTAGGGATGAACCTTGAAAATATTCTATTAAGTAAAATAAATCAGTCACAGAAGACTCTAAGTATGGGGAGAAAGGCTGAATTCAGTTTGAAGCATGTTGTTTTGAGATCCTTCTTTGTCTCTAAGTAAAGAAGCCTAATGCCAGATGAATAAATCTGAAATGTGGGGGAGCTTTGTATTAAGGATTCAGGTAGAGGAGCCTTCATCACTGAGATACACTGAAGTCACATAAGATCATTGTTTAGTAATTAGGACTTATTGAGAAACCTCAAAAGGGGTGAAAGGGAAGGAGAACAGTAGAGAAAAATAAATGAACAAAAAGACAAAATGGAGAAGTGTGATTATATAGTTTCACAACAGGCAAAAAGAGCACAAATTTCTGGAAAATGGAAGTGTGCAGCCAAGATTTAGAATCTCAGTTGTATGGAATAGGGAGGACAGCAGTGAATTAGGAAATAAACAAGAGGTAAGGGAGCTGAGTCAGGCAGAGTCTGGAAAATCACAGAAGGTGGTAGGGAGAAGAGGAGCAGAAATATGGGGACTTTAGTGTTGTAATAAAAGGAGCAAGTGTGTGGCATAGAATAAAGAGCTACAGAGGAATGGCTACTGCTGATGTGGGGGTGGAGAACACCCAGAGCAAGGTCTGGGGAGAGGTTAGAGGGATGCAGTGTTAGCACACACTGAGCAGGAGTGAAGAAAGAGAGGTTTGTCATGACCTCTCAATAGAATGGAAAAACAGGCTCCTGTTGAGAATGGGGTAGGAGCATTGACTAGGAAACCCAAAACTGCACTGGAGTAGTAGAAGATTATGAGCACTCACGAAACTAAAAGAAGAAAAGGCATTAACAAGATGCAGATGAGGTAGGAGAGCTTGTATTCATGGTGGCTCCAAACCATCTGGCTGTGTGAACCTCTCCAGCAGCACCCACTTGTCTAGGTGTAGCAGAAACAGAGGAGAATTACCATCCGCCTTTAATATTGAGGCCTTTCTAGAAGACAATTAAATGTGAAATATAGAGAGGGGAGGGGCAGAGGAAGAAGGGAGATGGGAAATAAACTCAATATCTGGGAGAACATGGGTAAAGTTAGGGCTCCAAGTCTCCATAAGTTAAAAAGAGAGGCAGCTAAATGGAAAAGAGGTCAAGATTTCCCAAGTGGAGAAGGTCACAGGGTAATGGGAAGTATGAGACATGATTTTCATAGAAACAAGCAACATAACTAAAATGGCTGAGGTAATGTGGAATTGAAGAAAGATACATTTTGAGAACAAAGAGGAATGATACTGGGACAATAGACTAAGCATCTACCTAGCGACTAAAGACACCCAAGAAGATTCAGGACTGAGGATGGTGGGAAAGACCATGAGCTAGCAGGGAAGAGGTCAGACATACAGAGTAAAGTAGGCAAAAGGAAAAGGAAGACTAGTATGGGCCAAAAACATGAACCTCAGAGAAGCAGGAATTTTTATAGGCAAATCTGATGAATAAAATCCCCTTTTCCTAAAGGCAGAAGCAGAATTTTTAGGCTTTTATCCTGAATCTCAAACATGACATTCATAATCCCAAACAGTTAAATTTTATGAACAAGTAATAAACTCCATTAAAATGCTGCTTATATTAGTGTTTAAAATTAAGTCATATAAAATTTGTGTTACTGATAACCCAAGGTTTTACTCAAAGATGGGTTTTTTTGTTTGTTTGCTTGTTTTACATATGGGCACTAGTTCTGTTAAGCCCAAACTAAATAAATGGAATATACATTTTATTTACTGTAGACTATACATTGTATTAAGTGTATACAAGTGAAATATGATCATCACTTGGAGCTTTTTGTTTCCTCAACAGAACAATCTATCTTTCATCAATCTTTCTGATGTGACCTGCCCTTCCAAGAGACAACTAGACAGAGTTAAAGTCATGGAAATGGCAGTGCCACTGCTCCATAAGCCTAAAGGGGTGACAAAATGACTCATTTAGTAACAGAATTTGATGAGTCATCAGTTGACAACAAAGTGGCAGAATAGGACTATTACCAGACTCTGCAGGCAGCTTAGCTCGCAGAACAAATATTTAAGTGTCTCACATTTACCCAGCTGTCTTGTTTAAATGGTAAGACCCGACAGGCAAGGTCAGACTTGCTCTCTGGTATTAGGTGCTATTAGAGTAGAAGGGGAAGGCAAACAGATGAGGCTGATCGTGCACGTCGAGCCTCGATAGTAATACCATGCCATTTAGGGAACATAAACTAGGGGAAAAGTTTGTTAAACTTGAGTGAAGAAATTAACCAAATGAAGCTGCATGGCTGCCTCTATTGGGAGGTCAGATAGCTTAACCTAAAGCCTCTCATAGAGGAGTTAGCTCTCTAGTTCTCAAAGAGCTAGTTTCTTATCTCAGGCCTTGATCATCTGAGAAGATGCACTTAATACTGAAGAAAGAAACAGAACGTGATAGATGTTTCTGTCTAGAGGAGGACATATCTAATGCAACCTTCTCACTTCATCAAGGATACAAAAAATGAGACACAGATGTTTGCTAGTAGTTTGTCTAAGATGGTCATGTATCTAGCTAGAGAGAACCCTAATCCTCCCTTGCCTTCCCAAACACCAAAGATCAAAAGTAAAATTTCTCTTAACTTTTGAAAGTCAGACAAATTGGTAGTACTGTTTCCAGAGTCACAATTCAAGCCACATCATGAGAACTGCACCGGACTTGACAAAATTAAATCCAACGTATCTCCATCTGGGTTCTCCCAAAGCCCTGGTACCTGGCTGGCTGTGGATTTGTATGAATGAGTCCGATCTGCCATTTCATTTACATAGTCTTATGACATTCTTTTCTGCTACCTATGGGGCAAAATAAAACCTTTTCCTTTGAAAGGACTTGTTCTCCAGGACAATGTTCTTTTTAAGAAAGAGCCCATTCTTCATGTGTACTTTGTCACAGCTTGATTTTTAAATTGTTGCATAAAAAACAAAATAAAATTCTGACTCTCAGGACAGAGTGTTATGTGGCTAGTTCCCTAAAAAGAAATATCTAGAGGCATAGAACATCTCACTAATGTCCAACAAATAGGTAGCACAACAGCTTAACTTGAGATATAGCACCTTACAATTAGGATTATTCAAGTTAAAAATCCTCATACTCATCCCACACCCTGCTCCAAGAATTAAATCATTGCAACTTCAATGGGGAAAGGACACTGTTACCTGAAGGTGCTGGATTCTGCTGTGACTAATGTAGAGTCTCTTGGTGGTGGAAGGGATGCCCAGCGGTACCTCCATGAGCCTGTAGCATTGTACAGACTGCATAGAATCACAACTGCATCGTCCTGGACAGTTAGCACTGAGGCCATTGCTAAGAGAGAGCCAAAAAAGAAAAGCACAGAGCAGGTGCATCTTTCAAAACAGAGGTTTGCAGGTAGCAACCAACTGTTTAGGTGACACCTTACTCTTTATACTAGGAACTCTGATAACAGAATCTTATGAATGTGTACTCTGTCCGTGTGAGAAGACAAGGGGGAGAAAAACCTCCGTTTGCTCCATTTGTCTGGGTTAGCAATCATTACAAAGAAAAAGGGCGTAAACATTGATAAGCTGCCTTAATATCTCTAGGTGAACAAAACCCTATGTTATTTATGACTTGCAAGTCTAAACTGCAAACACTTCTATTATCTGTAGTTTCCTCGTTTTGTTAAATGTGACACTAAGGAATTAGTGGAAAAAGACAAAGAGCTGTTTTATAGTGGGCCATAAAACCTTTGCATTTTCTATGACCCTATATTAAAACCATTTTTTCAGGACCTAAGCAAGCAGGTGTTCTCCTCTCACATTAATTATTAAGGGGAAACAGGCAGGTTCTCTACTTGTTACTGTTTCAGTGACGTTTTATTGCTAGATGAAACAATGGGTTGCAATGTGAAATATTTAGAGCCACAGATAAGGAGCTTGGTTTATCTATCTCTTAATTCACCTAAATACAATGTTTTGAGAAAAACTCTTTCTCACTTCAAAATATTAACTATATTAAAAACAAAACACCAAGTAAGCCTATTATCTGTTTCTTCTTGTAGTAATGGCAAGAGGGTCTTTATTTTCTTCACAGGGATTTGCTGATTGTGGGATCTTGTAAAGGTGTAGATGGACAGGGTCATTTATTCAGTGTGGTTCTCTGCTGTGGCTTTTTGTCCTGCACTGGGCACTGCATTGCTGAAGCCTTTGCAAGTGTTGAACTGAGATCTGGACTCTGTCATGCTGCTGAGCCTCAGCAAGTGCTCCAAAGCAACACTTCACTGCAAAAAGCTTCTCCAGAGACCCTCAGCCCTCTACATACCAGTGCCATTTGCAAGCATTGTCTTTGACCTTATAACCAACTGATTTGACTTCCAGAGTCCTGCTACTATGTGTCTTCCTGATGTTTTTTTCTTATTTTCTTGTGTTATTTTATTTTATCAGAGACAAAGAGTGGTGAAAGGTTTCTTTTTTATCAATGTTTTGCTTTTAAATACCTTGTTGCTTTTGTCTAATAATAATTATTTTTTAAGTTTTCAAAATTTCCCAATATCAAAGTGTATCACTGACTTAAAAAAAATGGAAGAAAAATTTAAAAGGGCAGTTGAGATGGCTCTGTGGGTAAAGGCACTTGCCTACAACCCTAATGATATGAGTTCAATTCCTGATACCTATAGTTGAGAAGCAACTTTCAAAAGCTGTCCGCTGACCTCCCCATGCCTGCCTCTCCTCTGTCCCCTCTCTCTCACACACACCAAAATGTGATAAAAATTTTAAGAAAGATAGCAAGGAGGGGGACACATCAGCTTTATTCCTATCTCAAAGTTAAACATTACTTTTCTAGCCCCTTTCTATGCTTAGGCTTTGGAAAGACAAGAGAAATTGTCACTAGACTTGTTATGTGTGTCTGTACATTGCTAAACAGATGACATAAAATTACTTTCATGTTTTTTAGTATCTAATCTGGAGGTTAAGAACTCCTTTGATTATTTATTGTGCGAGGGAGTAACCATAGCCCTGGCAGTGCAGAGTACCATAATTCCAACTCATGAGACTGAGGCAGGGGGATTGTGAGTTCTAGGCAAGTCTGTTCTATTTAGGAAGACCCTGTCCAAAAAGAAAAAAAAAGAAAGAAAAAAAAAAGAATGAAAAGAAAAGAAAAACAGAAATAGCCACAGGAAATGCCCCACTGTTCGGCTTCTTTCTACTGACATCTGGAGCTTCTACTCGCTGACCAAGGGCTAGCCACATATGGTTCAGGTTTCTTGTCCCTGAACTTGAGTCTCCTAAGATGAAGGATAAGGCATATGGTTCCTCATATCAGAGAGTTCAGAACACTTCTGATGTTTTTACCTGGTTTTCTGGAGGAAAGAAATGCCAATAGAGGAATACAATATATTGCTCAAGCACAGAAACACAATATTCTCCCAACAGCTCTATTCCATATGCATCGAAAATCTGGATTTAATCTTTCAGCACAGAAAACAACAGTCTCAAGGAATTGTCTTTGCGTTTGAACTGGGCTTGGATTAGATTTTTAGTTCAGCTTCTCCAAACCCAGTTTCTTCCTGACTTCTTTTATTACTGTCTCTCTCCACTGAAAGGTTTTTGATGTTGTTTTTCAGAAACTGTTTATTTTACTATCCACTTTCTTTCCATTTTGCGTATTTGCAGAAGACCTCACAAACAATCTGTGGTTGTGCCAACTCATTCAGTGGCCTGAGCAGTGAGAGTTACAGATCAGTCCCCAGTAGCTGCCTTGACACTCCCTCAGGTCTTCAGGGTGTAGACACAGTTGTCACTTAGAACCTTAGAGCAGTCCTCCACCTCAGGCAGAGCCCGATTGCATTCAGAAGCTGACACAGACCCTACACTATGACCTTTCTCCTTGGTCATGGCCTTCTCAGCAGACCCTTTGTTTTCTTTCTTATCTCCTTCGTTCAGGCATGACCTCTCTCACGTATGCTTACCAGAGATGGTGCTGCGCATGCACAGAACTTCCCAAGCCATCATCCATGGCACCAAAGCGGCTGGGGGAACATGGCTGTATGAAATGGCCATGTTCCCTTTGCGGAGGAGAATCTGTGTACAAAAGATGCCTCTGTGAGGGGTTGCCAGTCAGTCCCTGGGACCTGTAGCAGCTAGAAGACACACCTCCTGGAAAGTTGCTCGAATGAGGTCAGTGAAGGTCCTAAGAATGAAGCTACCAGCAATAGGAATGTCTCCAGTGGCATTCAATAAATCTTGCAGGCCAGTGTTCCTAAAAGACATGACCCTGACATAAGAGTTCTCATTGGCAACAATGGTTTGATTTTCCAACCGCAGCTTCTCCTGGGTCTTATTCAGACTTCTGATGTTGACACCATTACTTCTTCTTTCGTAGAGGCGACTATTCTGTGTGGAAATCAAGGAAGGTGCCACCTAAGTGGGTTCCTGCTGCAAGGAGTTCCTCTCCTTTTATTTGCAGTATTTCAAGAGCTCCAGGCACGGTTTGAAAGTTTTCCTTAAGTTATGACCAGAATCAAGAACAATAACATATGGACCCTTCCTGAAACACAACTTGCAAAGTGAAACATTTCTGATTGTCATGAAACTGTCGGGGAAGGGACAGTGTCATTGGCCTCTAGTGGGAAACAGGCAGAGATACTCCTGCTAAACACCCTACAGGAACAGGGTGTCACCCATAGGAAGGAATGTTTACAGTTCAAAATGTCAGTAGTGCAATTGTTTAAAAGAAGAAAAACTGCAGGAAAAGCGAATGGATATTGACCTTTCCTGATTTATCACAATCAAGGATCAAACATAATTGGTCCGTACTCTGAAATTACATATTGGGAGCCATTACCACAAAAGGCATCATGAAGAACTCTGCAGAAGTCGCATTTAAATGAGTGCTCCTATTGTGTTAAAGGGAGGAGTTAACTCCTGTTTTGATATTCGGATGAATTTTAATGGCTGTCAACGGATGTCCGCATCAGAAGAAAACTTAGAGATAATATTCTTAATAATCTCTTCTCTATTATCTACCAAAAACTGAAGTCCAGAAAAGAAACTGACTTACCTAAATAGGACCGGATCTGGCACTTGGAGTATCAGCTCGTGTTCTGACTACAAACTGACTAACTAAATGGTAAACAGAAAGTTTTTCAAAAATAGAAACATGGATTTCTTAGATTAAAAAAATACTTTAAGGGTTTTAAAAAAGTGTACACAATTCTTTCAAAATTGTTTATTCTGGAGCATGTTGAACAAAGGTGTTAAAATAAAACAAAAACCATATACACTTCATTTTTTGTTTTGCTTTCTCTTATAAAATGAAGATAGCTGGGGACAGCAGTACACACTTGCATTCAAGAGGCTCAGGCAGAAGAATAGTGAGTTCAAGACCATCCTGGACTACAAAAGAAATCTCAAAAATAGTTCTGTCAAGCATTCTTGTAAGCCCAGCATGGTGGCCATGCCTTTAATCCCACACAGTGAGGCAGAGGAAAGAAGATTGCTGTGAGTTCAAGGCCAGCCTGCTCTACAAAGTGAGTCCAGGACAGTCAAGGATATACAGAGGAATCCTGTCTCAAAACAAACAAAAAAGCATTCTTGCATTCTAAATTTGAAGTACAAAGGAAAGAATATGTTAAAGGGTATTGAGAATGCACCTCTTGGGGGAGGCTGCTTATAGAATTAATCTATTAGAAACATAAATGAAGGAGGTAAATGAGGGGGAGTTTGTGTTTGATCTGTGAAAACTGACAATCTGAGAAGCAAACAATGACTTGACAGTGAATAAAGAGAAGAATCAATGACCGGTAAATGCTGATAGCCACTGATAAAGAGTGGTTTTAGATAATGACCCATGGGAGAGAGTAAATGAAGAGTATGGAGCAGGTCACAGTGGAAAAGAACTTAAAAGTTAGTCTTAACAGTGCAAAGGAATACAAATGTAGTAATGGGAACTGAAAACTTTTTGTCATGCTTTAACTCTGGGTACACCATACAAAATATACCACCTGAGAGAGACCCTTTAATTGTGGAACAGAAAAAAAATATCATTTTTAAAGCCTAAATTATACTGGACTTAAAAAATAAGATAAAATATTGCTAAATATTTGGAAATGTGCTAAATATTGCTAAATATGTTGGAAAAATTACTTGAAATTTAAAGACTAATGTTTTTTAAACAATATGTCTAACCCATTAGACAGTATAAAATCTATTTAGCTATGCCCTGCTGCATTTATCAAAGGTATGTTTGAAAAGCAACTGCTTTTAGAATTTCCTAGGTAAATAGTGGACTGTCTTAACCACCAACATTATCCAGTTACAGCATTCCTCCCCTAGCAGAAAGAGTTTTGTTTTTTGTTTGTTTGTTTAATTTGCATGTGTGTGTGCACGCACATACAAGTACACATGCATGTACACAGCCATGTATATAGAGAGGCTAGAAGGTGACCTTAAGTGTCTTCTTTTGTCTTTCTCCAACTTAGTTTTTGAAGAAAGTTCTCTCATTGAAACTGGACTTCATTGGTTCAGTTAGATGGGCTGACCAGCAAGGCCCCAGAACCCTCCTGGCTCTGCTTCTAAGTACTGAGGAACAGATGCACACCACCACGTCTGGCTTTTTTAATGAAGGTACTAAGGGTCCCAACTCAGGCCTTCATTGTTGAACAGCAAACACTTTATTTGCTGAGCCATCTCCCAGGCCAGCATGTTATACATTAGGGCTTACATTCTAAGGTGTTTCATATGATTACTGCAAAGAGCCTTGGTAGATATTTGTAGAAACCTAAATGGGAACGAAGTTCATAACTTCGTGTGAGAAAAAGAAGAAGGAGGAGGAGGAGGAGGAGGAGGAGGAGGAGGAGGAGGAGGAGGAAAGCAGGGTGGCTGAGCTAATCTTAAATCACTCTATTATAATTCTTGTATTTTTAGAAGAAGACAAGTTTCCCCATTTCTATTAAAAGAAACAAACAGAGGAAGGATGAGGCTAAATAAATCACCCAGAAATACTCAAATTTGCTTCTTTTGCATGACTTTCTCAAAATTATAAATCATAGCAATTTTATGTTACAAATGCAGTGATTGTAAAATAAGTACAATATTCCAAGACTTCCGCACATTGCTAAAATAAACAGCAATAGACTTTCCTTGCATTTCTTTATTCATCACACAGCTGTTTATAACTATCAAGAGTACTTAATCTCTTTTCCTATTCCTGCCAGGGTTATAGAAAATTAACGGAAACAAGTATGAAGTATTAAGCCTGGAACAGAGTAGAGCTTAAAACTCATAATCTCACAATCCTGTCCAAGGCCAGTTTTCTATTGACCTTCCAGTGCCATGACAGCTGGTGGTGCTCTAGAAGAATCTACATCATTAACTAACTGCACATCTACCATCTAGGTACGAAAGGACACACCAGCATCTTCCCTCTTTTTTCTAGTCTCCTCAGTCTTCACCCTGTCTTTAGTGGTGAGACTCAATAAGAACAAAATAAGATTGCCAAGATGTGTGTGGTGACCCATGTCTGAATCCCGCAGTCATGAGGCAGAGACAAGACAACTGCTAGAAGTTTTAGGCCACCCTGGTGTATCCACGCCAGTCAGAGAGACATAGCAAAATCCTGTCTCCAAACAACAATGACAAAAGAAAACCAGACTGCTTTTGTCATATCATGATGTTTTAAATCACACAAGCATGATTTATGAGTTATTGGAAGTATCTTCCAATCCAACTGAAAATAGAAATATCACAATCTTTTTTAAAGCTGTGTGAAAACAAACTTTACAAGTACTGAAAAGACAAAACGCACAAGTCCAAATCCCAGGAAAGACAAAGCAACAAATGCATATAGAGCACACTGACAACAGATGGCAGTATTTGACCATTGAGCCTCTTTTTCCAAGTTTGTGTTCTATTGTGACTTCCAGAACTGCAAAATCCTAAATCTAAGTGGGCAAAACATTCTATTAGGAAACCTCATGAGCATTTAAAGTAATCACTGAATACCAAGATGGTGAGCACATAGGATATGACAGCTACCACACCGTATAACAATGAGAGGGGACAATGTGACAAGAAACTAGCCTGAGACATCCACGATACAACTTGGTGTGACTTGTTGGAGTTGTACAATGTTGAAAATTAAGATGTTCACCAGCCATAAGAACAATGGCCACGTAAACACGAAATGCAGTTTGGATTCTTTCACATAGTAAGTAGTAAATTTAATATTTTTAAAGAAATGCAATTTGTATTTGTGTGGTTTATTTAAAAAGCTACAATAGAAAATTACTTTTATGTTGTTATAGTTGTATATGCACATGCCTTGGAAATACTGTCTAAGAAAGCTCTTAGGACAGATTTGCCAATTTTTCATACTAGCAACATGAAATGGATTCCTTATTCTTCTGCATCATATAGCTAATGCCAAAGACTAGTAAGAAAGATACCTACATTGAGATGCCTTTTGTGTGGCATTACTAAAATGCTTAATCTGTTTACCATTCACTTATAACAGAGTAATTATACTTACTGCAGGACGTTTTGAGAATAATAGAAATAACTCTGATACATAGCACTTTTTATTATTATTATTATAATTATTATAATTATTATTATTTCAAGATAGGGTTTCTTTGTGCAGCCTTGGCTGTCCTGGACTCACATTGTAGAGCAGGCTGGCCTCAAACTCACAGAGTTCTGGGATACAGGCGTGCACCATGGTGCCCAGCTCAACACAGCATGTTTTTAATAATTTGAAAGCTATTGTTTTTGTAGGTTTAAGTATTTTCCCATTCTCACACAGTATTTTTTTTTCAAATTCCTGAAAAAAAAAGTATCACTAGAGAAAATGGTCTGAAGTCTCCTCAATGTTCTTACAAATACTGTACACAAAAATAAAACAGACCAGCATGGGGTATGGTAGGCAAGGAGGCTGGAGAGAGAGCTCAGCAGATAAGAGCATTGGCTGAAGAGGGATTTGGTTCCCAGCACTCACACGGTGGCTAACAGCATCTGTAACTCCAGTTCCAGAGGATCTGGTACTCTGTTCTGGCCTTCTTGAGCGCCATGTGTGAATGTGGTACACAGAAATACACACACATGTAGGCAAAACACACACCCACTAAAATACACCTAACACTGGAAGAGGTTAGGCAGTTTTATATTATTGCGTACTAAGCCTAAGAGATGGTCTCTGCTTACTCTCAAGGAAAGGGTTGCATGGTTAGTTTTACTTAACTATTTTTGCTAAAGCCATAATACTTTTTGCTTGATGCTAACCAGTCTTGCATTGGAGTGCAAGACAAAATCTGTAGTTTCTTAATTCTCATTGGCACTGCTTTGATGAGAGGCACACAGTGCCGTGCAGGTTTCGATTAACGGTAAAATAGAAGGGTCTGCCCCAAGAACAACTTACAAAGAATTCTGGACTCATTCTCCAAATACTCTCACAGGCGAGGCAGGAGAAGCAGGAGACAGAACTCATACCGCCTACTCTAATTAGTCTGGTTTCTCCTTTCCCTTCCGGACTCCTGGATTAAACAGTGGAGGAGGAGCTAGAGAAATGGAAGAGATGGGAGGCAGGATGTAAAGAAAGCTGTTGCTAAATACTCCCAAATGCACGGAACCTTGGAATTAAAAGTTTTGACAGCCTTACTAGCTTACTAGCTCAACGTGAGTGAGGGTCGTTTCATTAGATTTTATTTCCTCGGTGCCTCACCCGGACAGGTATTCAATGTTTATGAACATATGAAAATGACAGGGCTAGGGATACTAGTTTATAAAATAATCACAGCATTCCAAGTGGTTGCCTTAGAAATCTGTGTGATTTAGTAAGATGAGTGCCCTGTGCCAAGTATTAACACTTTCACTTTACCTTGATGCTAAGTGAAGTAAATTTTGGAAACTAGGTTCCCAAGTTAAGTAACAGCGAGGTGGGGCAGCTAGTATGTGATAACGTGGAGGGCCTGAACCCAGGCTTGTCAGTCGCATAAGGAGGGACCACTGATTCAGCAAAACCTGGTCAGCAGCTTCTACGGGCAACTTCAGGTAGTTTCTAACTGGAATGCACCGTCTGGTCCACCAAGAACAGCCTGTGTACACACCCATCCAGAGCTAAACTGCAGTCTCTAAAGCTGAAGAGAAAAAAAACGTGGCTACCGCGCATGCTCACATGGCCCTCCGCGCGCCCACCCAAGCTCCTGGACGCCACACCAGCAACTTTCCCAGGCAGCTGTGAACCGGCTCCCGCCCACTGTGAAGCCAAACTGAGGGAAGCCAGTCCAGTCAGCGACGTGGAACCCTTCCCTTCTTCCGGCCTTTCCCACTTGAAAGGAGACACCGCACCCGTGTCTCGGGCCTGTGCCAGTTGTCAATATGGCCGCAGGCAGGCTGGTGGGCGGGGAGGGAGGAAGCATTTCATTGGCCAAGGCCTCGCCCCGCCCCGCCTACTTCCTCCCTCTGGGCTGCGCTGGCTGTGGGCTCCGCTACGCATGCGCGGTGTGGGCGAGCCGGGATGCGGGCGGGTCTTCCGTGTGTCGCGGTAGCAGCTACAGCCCCGCTGTGTCTGCGCCTCTGGGGCTGCGCTGCCGGCGTTGGCGGCGCGAGGAAGGGGAGGGGACCGGCGGGGCGTGTGTGCGCGCACGCGAGGGGCGCCGCGGTGCCAGCAGTTCCCCTCGCGCGGGGCGGGCGGCCAGCGTGAGCAGCAGTCGGCGAGGCCCTGGACGGCGCCATGTCGGCGGGCGGCCCATGCCCGGCGGGAGCCGGCGGCGGCCCAGGGAGCGCCTCCTGCCCTGTAGGGGTCTCCCCTGGCGGGGTGTCCATGTTCCGGTGGCTGGAGGTGCTGGAGAAGGAGTTCGATAAGGCCTTCGTAGATGTGGATCTGCTTCTGGGCGAGATCGATCCGGACCAGGCGGACATCACTTATGAGGGGCGTCAGAAGATGACCAGCCTTAGCTCCTGCTTTGCGCAGCTTTGCCACAAAGCCCAGACTGTGTCCCAGATCAACCACAAGCTAGAGGTGAGCCCCCGGGGCTGGCAGCAATGGCATTCAACCCCAGACTGTCCGAGGACGTTAGGTCCCATTTAACGCACCAGGAAAACGATCCAGAAAAACTACCCACTGGGCACCTCAGCTTTGAATGTGATGGAGAGTGCGTTTATACGCGTGTGAAGCAGAGGAGTGAGGGGCGGGTGGGGGAGGAAAAGAATGGAGACCGACCTGTGGGTCTTGTCATCCGCCTCCCAGCATCTCTCTGAGGTGGGGACGGGAGTTAATCATGCTGCCTGCCTTGTAGGTGTTACATTAACAAGCATCACCAAGATCCTCTGTCAGGAAATACCTCAGCTCTCCTTTCGACCTGTGAGTTCTGCTTTGATAATGATAAACTAGACTGATAAATTCTCTGACAGATGCAGCCCTGGTTATTTTCATCAGCTAGCCCAGTTCTATGTCCGTGTGTGTACACAGAGACTTGCATGAACTTACGGGAAGCTCATCATAGCTCTTAGGGAAATGTAATGGAATTTATATGTTACTCTCGTCCTTCTCGGTTTACATTCACACTTGGGTCCTTAAAATACAGGCAGATATGTCTTTAGAGCTCCCTGTCAGTATTCTAGTAACTTCTGACATTGAGATGCATGTGTTTGTACTTTCCTGTGTTTCCCTAATTTCAGACACTTCGACTATGTAAAAACAATCCTTGGCCTTGGTCTCTCATCACGGGGGAAGGGGGTGTGGTTGCAAAACCAAAAATTCCAAACCTCCCATTTTGTATGGAAAATTAAATTAGGGCAGTATTACAAGATTTAGAAATCATGGTGTATTAACGCTATATAGAAAGCATTTTAGAAATAGGCAGTTTAAGTAGAGAATAGGTCTTTCATTTTAGAGAGGATAAGAAAATGAGATAATCTGTGATGGGTGAAGTTCTTTGTGTCTTAGACTGTAATGATAGGGCCCAGATTAGTGTGTATGTTAGTGTGCATTGGTGGCTTTTAAAAATAGTATTTTAGCTCCAAAGAGCAAAGATTAAGAGTAGCTTCTACCAAATGAGAACTTACAGGCTATCTATGTATATGTATCCATATACTATGTATACTATTTTTAACCATGTTCTAGAGATAATTGGCTTTTAAAGGGTAAAACAATTTTAACTGCCTTTTTAAATGACCCAAGGAAGCTAAACAATAGTACTTTCTGATGTTAGCTATAAAATCTGATTTTGAAAAAAAAAGGAGTTTTTGTATGAATAGGTAGGTGGTACTCAGTTTTTAAAAAATCTTTACATATTTTAAAAGAGTAGTTCTCTAACTAATAGATTGTGCATGTAATAACTTACATGTGTTCCTTTTTTTTTTCAGAAATTATACTTACATATTCCAAGTCCATGTCATATCTTAGGAATTATTTCTTAAAATAATTTTTTTATAATACTTAAAATAGTATTATTTCTTAAAATAAGAAATGCTAGCATATCACAGTGAAAAAAAATGGTTCCCTTTTAAATTAAATATAAATGCCATCCATGTAGCAGCTTTTTGCCATAAGTTTGCCTTAGGCAAGAGACAGGTATATAAAAAGGGCTGGCGATTGAAGAAAAAAAATCAGGATATTTTGAGGTGGCACCATTTCTAATTAAATCTCACAAACTTTCTACCTGACTGAGAATTCCTGGTCAGACACTTGGTTGAGACCCAGCTAAAGTCACCAGTATAATATCAGTAGCAATGGCAGTAATAGCTGTAGAGGAGCAAAGGCTGTGACCCTTAAAATAATTTACCTCTGTCTGTTTTGGAATGTGTGCTGTGCTTGATTATTCCTTTTAGGAATACTATAATACTGACAAACAATACACCTCAGTAGGGTATGGTGGTCCTTGACTATAACCCCAGCACTACAAAGGGGGGAAGTGGATTGAAGGCACCCTCAGTTACACATTGAATTCCGGGGCCATCTTGGGCTACTTGACCCCCTATTTCCAAAATCAGAAGACATTCTATTTCATGTCTTTCTTCCATAATAGCTGAACTAGTTAATGTCTCTTTAAAGTGACTTATTGTTCAAATCATTAGTAGAGAAGTGTTAAGCCTTTGTCAGAAGTTGTGTTGATACTAAATTGATGATGTGCTTGACTTTGTGCAGCTTTATTTGTTTGTTTGTAGTGTGTGTGTGTCTGTGTGTGTAGGACTGAGCTCAACATCAGGCATCTTCCTCATGTTTTAAGACAAGGTCTCTCAGTGAACTTGGAGCTTGCCAGTTTGGGTGAACTGGGCTGGCCCAGCAAACCTCTGGAATACCCTGTCTTTATTTCTCATTCCTGGGTTTACTGGCACCCAGCCATGGCTGGCTTTTTACTTGGGTGCTGGGATCTGAACTCCAGTCCACATACTTGCATACCAAGCATTTTATCAACTGAACCAGCTCTACTATTTTTATTTCTGAAAAAGGATCTCTTGTCATTGCTGCCTCAATCTCATAATTAAGTTCAAGGATGACCTTGAATCTCTGATCCTCCTATCTCCATCTTCCTGAAGAAATAAATACTGTTAACTTAAGATGTAATGGATTAATGGAAATTAAGCTAAGAGATACAGAAATATTGTTCCATGGTTTATAAAGTAGAGGAACTAGGAAGTGGAAAGTGTGGTAGTGGGTGAGAGCTCATGGTACATTAGAAAATCTGGGAAAGAGTTGAAGCACACTAGAAGCAAGATGCCAGATGAGATTGTATTCGTAGGAAACAAAACTCGCATTGTTTCACAGGCTGTGCCGTAGACTTGGGCTTTATCATACAGGAGCAAGCATTTTTTTCAAGTTATCCACGTAACATTATGATAGCATAAAATAAGGTGATGTAGATAGAGGGAAGTATTCAAAACAAGAGAAACTTGAAAGATAAAATTCAACAAAATCCAGAATGGATCAGAATGAGGGAAGGATGAGGGGATTCAGGATGACTATACAGTGCATCACTCTTGTCTAGCTCCTGGAACAGATGGATATATGATATTATTACAAATAATGATATATTGCTAACCTTATTGATCAGTTGCTATGGATTAGGCCCTGTCCTAAGTGTGTTTGGTTTTTACCTATTCCTCTAATCTTCACAGCAGCTCCTCAAGATAAGTCTATAATTATGGTTTTTGTTGTATTATAGAAGTGACATAAGAGGCCCCCACCTGCAAAGCTAAAGAAATCATTCTGTATAAACAAACTTATGTTCAGAGGGGCATTGGGAAGAGAGAGAAATGTCCAGAAGTGGGTATGGATAGATAGCTTAGAAAGGCAGAGGTAGGCTTCAGGGAAGTTATTACTTCATTTTATTTTGAAGTGAAAAAAATAAACTTGAACATGTTTATATTTAAGGGAAAAGCTAAATACTGTGGGAAATAGATGAGTAATATTAAGAGGCTGGGTGCAGATAAGATAAAAAGAACTGAACAGCAAGTGGCTTTGCATTATTCATACAGCAAGAAGTGAAGGGCGATTTGAATAAATGGGGTGAGGAGAATTTTTGTGTTATTTTTCTTTGCTATTTATTTATTTATTTATTTATTTATTTATTTATTTATTTATTTATAAGAATAGGAGCTCAGGTCAGTTGCTGAAAGTAAGGGTAAGAACTTGAGAAGAGTGGTAGAGGTTGTTGTAGACAAAGATCAAGGGACAGTCCCATTGCCCAGAGAGATGAACTGCCAGGCCTAATTGAAGACTTAGTTGGTGTTGCTTATCATAAACATCATGACAGCCAGTGTGCCCTGTGGTATGACTTTCTCCAGCAATATCCACCATGTAAGTATGGACACAGTAATGCAAGTAATACTTAGGTTCATCCAGTGTTGAAGCAAGGGAGTTTGCTAGATGGACAAGGAAGTTATTAAAGTGAAAGTAGTAATGATGAAGAAGTGGAGGACAATTTAAGGTGAACCTGGAGTTGATCATTATGCAGACACAGAGAAAGTAAGGATGGTATCATATTTCTGGAAGGAAAATGGATTTGTTGGTATTGTAGTCACTTAAGTGCCCCCCCACCACCATCTAACTTATGTCCACCAAAGCGATGCTGAGAAATTGACTAAATTCCCAATTTGACTAAAATTCAAGTTCCTTACTTAGGACTGCCAAGCTCTATAGGACTTTACCTCAGGATATCTTTTCAGTGATGTATATTGCCCTTTTTTATTCTTACTCTTAATGATCCAGACACAGACCTTTCAAAAGCACTGACAGTATACTCAACTTTTTTTTATTCCAGTACCCCTTGGCACTTAAATTCTGGGGCCTCCAGAGAGCTTTATCTCTGTGGGTTACATATCCAGATATATATGGATATGTATGTGTGTGTATCACTACTGTTTTAGAAGGTGGAACTAAGAAAGTTGTACATATTAATATATAGTAACAAACATATTAATTTGGGTGAGGATGGGCAATACATATTTAGATTTCAATCAGTAGTTTATGCTGGCCCTTAGGATTCTCCTGCCTTGGCCTCCCAAGTATTGTAATGGCAGGCATGCCACCACCATGTCAATAATAACATCATTTTAAATTTAAAATAGCTGCTCCAAAACCAAATAAACTGAATGAACAGAGTAACATTGTTTTCTTTCCCTTTTAAATCTTTTAACATTTTGCTTAAGGGGTAATAGTTGGATTCTTGTGTCTGTTTTTGTGCTCAGTTTTATTGTGGTAGCGTTTTGTGGGTCGGAAGAATATTTGACCTAGAAGAGAGCCATAGCTTGAAGGGGAGGAACCCCATCAGGTATTTGTTGATATTCTCTGGTGGTAAAAGTTGACAAGAGGCAGAGGCAGGCAGATCTCTGAGTTCCAGGCCATCCTCATCCTACATAGCAAGTTTGAGGCCAGCCAGGGCTATACAGGGAGACTTTGTTGCAAAATATTTTTTTAGAAAGGAGACAAGAGATAGGTTTTTTTTTTTTTTGAGATATGACAAGATAGGGAGTGTTCAGGGTCTCTGGCTGTAGACATGACATAGTTTCTTAAAGGTT